GGCAGCTGAGGTTTAGGTGAGAGAACGGATGCCCAGGGGGAAAATATTACTGAGAGTCACATTACAAAAGCATGTCTTCTTGTGTCCATACAAAAATAACATTGCTCTGAATAAACTATGCAAAGGACTTAGGGAGAAGAGAAAAACAATATTTACAAGTCAACAAAGCACAAAGAAAGAAGTTACAAATAAACACAGAGGAATGGGAGCACTGTGATGGGAGCAACCCAATAAACCTAAACTACCTGAGGCTATGCAGAAAGGACAAAATCAGTGTTATCCTCAACACCCAAAAGGAGAGAGAGAACAAAAGAGAGAACAAAAGGGATGGGGGGGTGGGGGTGGAAGGGATACTGGGATCCATGGTGATGGAAAATGGGCACTGGTGGAGGGATGGGTATTTGATCATTGTATAATCGAAACCCAAGCACAAAAAGTTGTAAGTCTACAACGGTACCTCATGGTGTTTCACTAATAAAAATTAAAAAAAACAAAACAAAACAAAACAAAAAACAGTGTTATCCTAAAGGAAGGTAATTCAACTCTTCTTGGTCCACTCCTATAAAAAGGGAATTATGTCAGCCTTCAGATCAAAGGGTGGCCATGAGGATTAAATTAAGACTAGATTGTTCTGGGATCCTAGGGATGGCTCAGAGGTAAAGTTCCTGCCTGGAGTTCAATCCTCAACACCATTCTACATGCTGAGTCCAATCCCTAAACCCTGCTCTCCTCAGCACTACAAAGTATTTCATCTCCAGGGCACCAGAAAAAAAAGTATCACCCCTGGTAAAATCACAACAGCAACAAAAGGGAACAGGAGGAGAAGTTGGGGAAGGGGGAAATATATGGCTCTCAGTAAATATTAGCTAATTTATGTTTCTCTTTAAAATATTCAAAAAGCAAATATTACCCCACCCCCAATTGATTTCACATACTTTATTAAAAAGGGCTGGAGCGATAGCACAGCGGGTAGGGCGTTCGCCTTACAAGCGACCAACATGGCCAACCCGAGTTCGACTCCTCCGCCCCTCTCGGAGAGCCCGGCAAGCTACCGAGAGTATTGGATATGCCAGACACAGTAACAACAAAGTCTCCAATGGAGACGTTACTGGGCCCGCTCGAGCAAATCGACGATCAACGGGAGGGCCTTTACCTTTTTATTAAAAAGGAGGGCACAGAAAAGCAAAGCTTTTAGTTACTTTCTTTATTTTCATTTTTATCCATAGCTCATAGATTAGGGTTTTTGAGGTTTTTTTGTTTGTTTGTTTTTGGATTTTGGATTTTTTTTTCTTTTTGGATCACACCAGCAATGCTCAGAGATTACCCCTTGCTCTGAGCTCAGGAATTACTCCTGGCCATGTTCAGGGGACCATATGGGATGCCGGGGATCAAACCTGGGTTGGCTGTGTAGAAGGCAAATGCCCTACTTGTTTTACTATCACTCTGGCCCTACAGGTTAGGTTTTAAGTTCTAAGTCAGAATGAAGAGCAGGAAACAGACAGGGTTGGACACTTTGTCTTACTTTAATCTCTATAACAAAAACGCCGTAGCCTGGAGGCCTTCAATTACATCTTCCTCATAGAATTACTTAATCAATATTAGTCATCATAGCTCAGAACTTCACAGAATAGGATGAATTGTGCTGCCACTATCAAATTAAATTATATCTGAGTATCTATAACTCCTCGGCTTTTTTCTATATAGAGGAGAAGTCCATGTCTCTTGAAAACAGGAATGAACATTTTCTCCACCAAAGGAAATGAGTAGAATTTAGGGGATCATCTTGCAGTTTGTTTATATATAATAAAAATGCAAATCTCATAGAAGTGTGAGTTCTAAAATCACAGAATAAATTCCCATTCTGTAAACCAGAATATGTTCTTAATGACTTTGGGGGAGTCATACCTGGCTGTGCTCAGGGTTACTCCTGGCTCTGAGCTCAGGAATCATTCCTGAAGGGACTCACTCCTGTGGAATGACATAGAAAACCTAAAATAACACCAGCATAATAAAAGCAGGAATGAAGATAAATACATTTCATACTCTTTATAAAATCATTGGCCAATGGGAAGGAACCTTGCAGTACTTCTCTTGATGTTCAGAGCACACTGCACTTGAAATAACTGCCATTATCAGCTACACAATGGAATACTACACAGCTGTTAGGAAAAATGAAGTCATAAAATTTGCCTATAAATGGATGGACATGGAGCATATTATGCTGGGTGAAATGCATCAGAAAGAGAGGGACAGATAATAGACTGACTGCATTCTTTGTAATATATATTATATACATAAATAATATATATGCATAATATATACATCGAACTCGGGTCGGCCATGTTGGCTGCATGCAAGGCAAACGCCCTACCCGCTGTGCTATCGCTCCAGCCCGCTCTATAACTTAAACGAAATAATTTAGATTGTATTCTGGGGAGTCCTTGTGGGGAGAGGGATCTCCCAAGAAATCCCCGAATTTCTCCAAGGCCAGCCTTGGGGAATGCCTGGGGGACCATGTGATGCCAGGGAATAAACATGGTGGGCTGCAAGCAAAGATAGTTGTAGACTTTTAAACAGATTTAACTTAAAATAAAACTATGTTGCAAGAAAATTTAGACTTGAATCAAACAAAGAGAGTACTATTTAAGTAAAAAAAGATTAAATAGGCAGTTCCATAACTGTTGTTTTTGTTTTTGTGGGGAGAGGGGCACACCTAACAGTGTCCAGAGGCTATTTTTGGTTCTGTGGATCACTCCTGGTGCTACTGGGTGGGAGGAGAGGAGGGGCGGACCGTGTGTAGTTTCAGGGGTCCAACCCTGACCAACCCCATGCAAGACAAGGGCCTTAAGTCCTGTAGCATTTGACCCCAACACAGGGATATTTGGAATGAAATTCTGTCCTCTTCTCTGTGTTCGCTAACGACAGTCTACCCAGCCACATCATCCTCTCATTCCCAGAGTATTTGCAGCGGCTCTGTTTCGAACATTACTGCCATTGCAGTTCCTTGGTTGGGAGAGCCTAATTTATCTGTGGAAGTTAACCAGAATTACCCACTCAGAGAGAGATGGGGATTTAGAGCGGCAGAGATTATCTAACTCTGCAGAGAATGCCGAGGGATGGGAGGTATGAGCAGACAGTGTAGAATGATAAAGAAACTTGAGTATGGACTCTAAATCTAAGTGCCTACTCCGGAATTAAAGATGATCCCAGGGGCTGGAGTGATAGCACAGCGCGTAGGGCGTTTGCCTTGCACACGGTCGACCTGGGTTCGATCCCCAGCATCCATATGGTCCCCCGAGCACCACCAGGAGTGATTCCTGAGTGCATGAGTAACCCCTGTGCATGGCGGGGTGTGACCCAAAAAGCAAAAAATTAAAAAAAAAATTTAAAAAAAGATGATCCCAGTCAGAGTCAGGTTAGGGGTTGACATGGTCTCATCATCCTAAAATCTTACTTCCTTGGAGTCCAGAGATAGCATAGTGGTTAGGGCACATACCCACCCGGTTCGGTTCTGGTGAACTACAGGGCAGGAGCACCATCCTATCTTCACCCTTGCATTGAAAGTTTCACCTGATTGGCTGATGGGGCCCCCAGACTTCCTGGGCACCATTTTGGAGCCTCCACTTCCCCCCCCCAAAAAAAAAATATTTAAAAAAAAAACACCCTTTCCAACAAATTGAATACGAGTGGATCACAGTTTGTAAACCAGGAAGGTGACCCATCTGATTCAGTTTTTATTGCCCCCTTTTTGCCATCCCTGACTCATGTGTAGCGCGAGGGGGCGGTGGGGAGGCCGTCCCCCAGGAATTAAGCAGAAGGGAGCAAACTCGAGGTGGAGTCGCAGGGGGCAGGGGGCGCTGGCGCGCCCTCAGCTGGCCGGCCGCTGGAGGGACACGGCAAGAATGCCCAGTTCCCTCCTGGTGACCAGTCCTCCCGCCCGCGAATTTCCCGACAATTTCTAGCTCAGGCGGGCCTGCTGGGACAGATCATACAGGCGAAGTGCAGTGAATACTGGGCCGAGCGGAGAGTGCTGATGTTCCCCGGGAGAAAGCGTTGGCACCCGTTGATGGAGCTCATTAACGTGCAAGGCACGGAGTCCAGGAAAACCAGGCACTCAACAAACTATCTCCGTTATCATCGGGATCAGGACCCGTTATAACCCGGGCGGACACACACACAGAACCATGGTCAGGACCGCGTAGTTATAACCGGGGCAGGGATGGGACATACAGAGAGAACCTGATACACACGTACACAGAACCAGACACACACTCGTGCTGACACAGAAACGTGATCAGAACCCGTTAGCTGTAATCGGGGTGGGGACACACACACAGACACAGACACACAGAGAAAACTGGACACACTCATCAAGAATGAACACACGCATTTTAAAAAGGGGGGAGGGGGTCACGCACGCACAATCGCGCGCGTGCACACACACACACACAACACCCCACAATCATGATCATGACCCGTTAGTTATAACCGGGGCAGGGACGGACACACATACACACAGAGAACCGGACACATACTCACGCTCACACAGAAATATGACCATGACCATTAGCTGTAACCGGAGTGGGGACACACACACAGGCATACAGAGAAAACTGGACATATACCTAAAGAATGGGCACACACAAAGGGGGGGGGGGGGAAGGAGTTGCACGCGCGCACACACACAGGTACAAAACACACAATCATGATCATGCCCCGTTAGTTATAACCCGGGCGAACGGCGGCGAGGGCACATCGGACGGGGACACACACACATACAGAATCAGACACTCACGAGCACGCACGCACACAATCAGGATCATGACCCGTTAGTTGTAACTGCGGGGGTGTTTGGGGGGACGGACACACACACACACACGCGCGCACGGACCCAAGGAGAACCGGCCACACGCTCACGCACACGCCTGGCCGGAAAGGTCCGCGGCCGGGGCGGGACGCGGGAACCCGGGCCGGAGGCGGGGTGGCCCGGGGAGCCCACACCGACAGCCAATCCAGCCGTCCCGGGGAGGAAGAGGAGGAGCCAGGGCCGCCCCACGCCGCAGTGTTGGCGCTCGGGCCACGCTTCCCCACCTGCTCGCGCCGCTCGCCGGACCCGGAGCCCGCAGCCTCGCGCCCACACCCCGCGGGGCCGCCGCGCCGTCCTCGCGCAGACATGGCCTCGGGGCCCGCCGCCACGCCGGTGAAGGTGAGTGCCGAGGGGCGCGCAGCCGAGTGCCCGCACCCCGGGGGACCGCGCCTCCGGGCTGCACCCCCTGCGCGGGCGGGCGCCGGGGCCCGGGAGCTGGCACACTCGGTGCCCACCCGCCGCGCCCCGCCACTCCTCTGCTTGCAGCCGCACCGCTCGGGGCGCGCACGAGCCCGTTGGGGAGGTACAGAGTTCGCGCCCCGACCTCGCCAGAGCGCTCCTTTTCGGGGCGAAACGTCTGTTGGGGGCGGGAGCGGGTGGGACCCGGGCCGGGGGGGTCGCCCGCTGCGGGCTTGAGGCTTCCCGGACCCCGCGATCGCGCTTCCGCCCTGTCCCCGCTGCTCGCCCCGGGCCCACGTGGGGGATCTGCCTGCCTGCTCTTTTTTGTAAGCTTCCGGGTGTGTTTTTTTTTTCTACTTCCAAATGCAAACCTTTTTTTTTTTTTTTTGTAGTATTGGTAGTTGTTGTTGCTATCCCGAAGTTTGCCCCTGCGGCTCCGCGCGGCGACTTTGTTTCAGAATCCTTGCGAAGGAGTGCGAGGCCGCACCCTTTTTTAGAGGCCTCTGGCCTTAAGTGCTTTGTTCGCCGCCTGGGGAGTTAAATCCGCCTCTCTTGTGACCTCGCTGCACCCGGTTCTCGCCCGCCTGGAGCTCTGTTCCTTGGACCCCGGGAAGTGGGGCCTCCTCTGGCCGCGAGTTTTGTGGGGCGCAGAGAACTTCCCCGGGGGCGTTGAAACTTCCACCTAGCTGTCTCCAGAGGGGTTGTAGGATTACGGCGCACCGGGAAAACTTGACATTCAATTTTAGGACCTCTACTAGGCAGTTTCTGATTGGGCCAAGAACTCTATTGACTGTTGGACTTTGAGAAATTCCTGGCGGATGGGACTAGGATAGCTGGCTGCCTCTCTCCAGGCAGCTCTTGAGTTCTATCTGCCTTGCCTGCCAGTCTCCAGGGAGAAGGGAAACCTCTGCGGGCCTGTGCTGTGATTTGCCAGCCAGGCTACTTAGGTCCTGCAGCTCTTAATGAGACCATTGAAGAAAAGAGGGTGTGGTGGGTACCTGTCAGATTTAGATATGAAACTCCTTTTGCCTTCTTGAAAAGAGTCTTACATTCCACAGATGTTTGTAGATGGCCATCTCCTAAGGGGTCCTGGAGTGCACAACAGAAGGTGGTTTCAGGAAGCTCATGCAAAGCGTCCCAAGGTTTTTCTTTTTTTTCTTTCTTTTTTTTTTTTTTTGGTGCTCATCTTTAATGTGAGAAATTTTACTGCAGAATCTGCTGGAATGGTTAGATTTGTGCTGTCATCTGGTACATGGGTGAAGTTTATTATATGCTAGCTCTCATAAGCGGATGTACTGAGATTAACGTGAAATAACTTTTCTACCAGCTGGAGTAATAGCACGGCGGGTAGGGCATTTGCCTTGCATGCAGTTGACCCAAGTTCGATTCCTCCACCCATCTCTGAGAGCCCCGCAAGCTGCCGAGAGTATCGACCAGCATGGCAAACTACCCATGACTATTCAATATGCCAAACACAGTAACAACAAGTTTCACAATGGAGATGTTACTGGTGCCCGAAGCAAATCGATGAATAACGGGAAGACAGTGCTACCAACTTTTCTGCAACATTGAAACTATTAGGAGGAGGATCATTAGTCCCATGGAGCTTTCAGTTGGCAAACTGAAAATCCATCTCTCCTTAACACTGTAGCACTGTCCTCCCTTGTTCATAGATTTGCTTGAGCGGGCACCAGTAACGTTTCACAACAAATTGTGAGACTTGTTGTTACTGGTTTTGGCATATTGAGTACACCACGGGTGGCTTGCTGGGCTCTCCAAGAGGGGTGGAAGAATCAACCCAGGTCAGCCGCATGCAAGGCAGACGCCCTACCCGCTGTGATATCGCTCCAGCCCCATCTCTCCTTACAGATATGTATTTAAAGTGATATTTTAAAGACAGAGATGCCAGAGAGATATAGTACTGGGGTTAAGGTACTTGACTAGCACATAAGTAACCCAGGGTAAATCCCCAGCATTTCATTTGTTCCCCCCAGCACAGAGCCAGGAGTCACTGTCACTGTCCTCCCGTTGTTCATCGATTTGCTCGAGTGGGCCCAGTAACATCTCGATTGTGACAATTGTTACTGTGTTTGGCATATCGAATACGTCAGGGGTAGCTTGCCGGGCTCTCCGAGAGGGGCAGAGGAATCAAACTCGGGTCGGCCATGTTGGCCGCTTGCAAGACAGACGCCCTACCTGCTGCACTATCACTCCAACCCAAAGCCAGGAGTAAGCCCTGAGCATTGCTCATGTGGCCCAAACAAAAACAAACACTGTCCTCCCATTGCTCGTCAATTGCTGGAGCGGGCCCAGTAACTTCTCCATTGTGAGACTTCTTGTTACTGTGTTTGGCATATTGAATACGTCACAGGTAGCTTTCCATGCTCTCCGAGAGGGGCAGAGGAATCGAACCCGGCTCAGCCGGGCTGTCTGGGTGCAAGGCAGATGCCCTACCGCTGTGCTATCACTCTAGCTCATGTGGCCCAAAAACAAAAAAAAGGGAGAGTTAAGTACACAGAATCAGCTTGGGCACCCGGTTCTTCCTGCCAGTTTCTCGTACTTTGAAGTGCGAGATGGGCTCTGTGATCAGAGTCTTGGTGTAAATATTGAGTGCTGTGTATTTTGGGTCTTGGCAGGCTGCTAAATATAAAATGAAGAGCTACAAATAGTGCTAGGCTTCCTGCTGATTTTCATTCTTTGAGAAGAGAATGGGTGACAGCTTGTCTGTTGAAAATCCGGGATGCCAGCACGAAATCCGCAGGCTACTGCAACAGCATCTTATTAGAAAACCTGAGGTCCAGAGTGAAATAAGCTAATGAACCGTATGCTACCCCAGTCTTCTCAGTGGTAGAGCTGTGACTTGCTCACAAGAATCAGATCATGGCGGCCTGGGGAACATAATTGGATGGATCCACTGGGTTCAGTAGACAGTGGTGGAACAGGGCCCTGAGCTTGCATCCTGCCAGCTACATGAGACGCATTTCCAGAATCTGGCGGTGGTCTCTGTGCCCTGTTCATGCACCTGTCAGCAAGCAGCAGGAGGACACGCCAAGTACCCGCCCAGAAGCACCTCCATCCCAGGCTGGTGCTGTTTGGGCTCATTACCTGCTACATCTGCCTTTGGTCATTTACAGAGCATCTGTGTGGAGGTGAAGCTAGAGCTAGTGAGAAGAGGGAAAAGTGATGTAACCAGGAGCCCCAGCCCCCTGGGTCCTAGGTTACAAACTAGTAACTGGGTGCTGGTTGCTGGCGCCCGCTTGAGCTAATCGATAAGTTATAGGATGTCAAGTGATCAAGTGAACTGGGTGCTGGTAACATGCCTCTGAGAGATGTTGGGTTTAAACACTGGAATGTAGTAAACCACTATGGCTTCTGAATTGCCGGAGAATCCAGTGTGTAGTCAGTCGGACCCACCGCCACCGCTCTGTTCAGGGATGAGGGTGTGTGGGCCAAGGAGAGGTTAGGCCTGCTCCCTTGGGAGGCTTCCTTCTGGGCATTTGCTTGTTCTCCTAGTATCCTCAGTGTTTGTTTGGAGGCCTGAGTGTTGTCACACGCCCACCTGCTTGGCCTCAGGGCCTCCTGGGGCAGCAGAGCACATTCTGGGAAAGGGTGTGGTACCCAGGGTCAGCAGGCCCTCCTCCTCTAATGCCCGGCTCGCACAGTAACCCCAGCACCTCCAGCTTTCACTTGTACTCAGGGTTTCAGATATAGACTGCTGTGATACTGTGTAGTGTGTCATTCAAATCTGACCATGTGCTGGCGGGTCCTTGTCAAAATAGTCATCGAATACTAGACTGGAAATGAATCTTTGACTAAGAGAACACCCACTATGTTTTTTTTTCCTCGGCTTCTTCTCTGTTTTTGTAGTTTGGGGGCTGCACCTGGCCATGTTCAGCACTTTTGGCAGTGCTCAGGGGACCATATGTGATGCTGGGGGTTGAACTCGGGTTGGTAAGATGCAAGTCAAGCAGCTTAACCCCTGTATTAACCTTTTTAGCCCCCTTTTATTCTTCAAATATTCCAAAGGGAATGACAAAGATAGTGAGATGAGTATGGGAGGGAGTGGGCCAACCCGGGCAGTGTTGGGTGTGGGGAGGACGGGAGCTTGCCGAGAATGGAGATGACAGTTCTGCTGGGGGCTGGTATCAGAGGGTCTTCTAGCAGATCATAAAGGATTTGGATTTGAGGGCAGATAGCGTGCTCTGCATTGATGAAACTCAGGTTTGATCCCCGACACCAGATGGTCCCCTAAGCACCCAGAACATAAAGGCAGGCATATCTATAAATGGATGGACATGGAGAGTATCATGCCGAGTGAAATGAGTCAGAAGGAAAGGGACAGATATAGAATGACTTGCATTCATTTGTGGGATACAAAAAATATATATAGTGGAAGACTGATATCCATGGCCAAAGGAAACAGGAGCTAGGTAGGAGGGCTGATCAGTGGTTGGAACTAACCACAAGTGTGTGGGGCTGAGAGTAGGTAATGTAGAGAAGGGACCAGTATGACAATAGTAGCAGGGAATGATCATGCTGGACGGGATCTGGGTGTTAAAATTAGGTAAAAGGAGATTTTTGATAACCTTTCAGTATCAGTATAGCAGTCCACAATGGCCAAAAGGAGAGAGAGGCAGACAGACAGACACTGGTGCTGGGAAATGCACATTGGTGGAGGGATGGGTGTTGGAATACTGTATGACTGAAATCTAAGCATGAACAGCTTTATAAGGGTCTATCACAGTGATTCAATGAATTTTTTTTAAGTGGGCATATCACCCTGAGCACTGTCAGGTTTAGACTAACCCCATGTCAGAAGAGAAATTTGAATTTTCATTGTTTTGGAAGGCACTGAAGGGTTCTGAGCAGAGGGGTCATACTGGGTTTTCCCTCTGTGATCCTGGCTGTCCATGAAGTCCCCGTGTGGGCAGGAGCTGGAC